AATCTGGCGAACAAAATAGGTGCAATCTGGTGACGATGCACTGAACAAGAAAAAAGTCAAGCAAAGGCTAGTGAAACAATTTTAAATTGTAAGTCACTAAAAGATGGCAAAAGTAAAGGAGAAAAGAGACATAGAAACAACACTTGAGGACCTCTTTTAAGTGAAGGATTGAAGATAAGTTTTCTGGCTACCGTTCATTTCTGGGAAGATTTCTGACTGCCGTGTAGTTTTGGCCATCTAGGAAGATTTCTGTCTGCGATGTAGAAGTATTTCTGGCTGCCTTTTGATATAATGGTATTCTAGATATTTTAATATTTTGTTTGGCCCAAAATATCTTTTGAAATGGGCCCTTCTCTTTTTTAAAGATGGCCTTTTTTAATTCCTTTTCAAAAACCTGAAAAAAACATACTTCAAATGAGGCGCAAATGAGGCGCACGCCTCATTTTTTTTGCCTCTTCTTTTTCAATGGGCCCTTCTCTTTTTTAAAGAGGGCCTTTTTTAATTTCTTTTCAAAAGCCTGAAAAAACATACTTCAAATGAGGCGCACGCCTCTTTTTTTTGGCTTCAGATGTAGAGGCTTGCGCCTCTTTTTTTTTGCCAAACAGATTGAGCCTCGAGGCACAGAAGCTGCCCCTCACGGTGAGGCGGGCCTCAGCAGGGTTTTTTCATACAATGATCGACACTACTGCCACACCTAGGAAGGCTGCTGGGAAACAGCCAAACTAAGGCTTAACCTCTATGGAAAGTCAACGTCCATTAAATTGCAGGTGAATACAATTATTGGATTTTTCATATGGAAAAACTGCCAGAAATATAGAGAGAGATTTTCAAGATATAGTGGGAGCTCTATTCCAGGATCACTTAAAATATTATGCCCAGTTCCATCCTTGCCGAATCCATATTAGTTTCTTAAAGGAGGGAAATGATTAACTGCATAATTTTGAAATGTGAATTAATACTCTAGTTTTGGGCGAACTCTTACATTTACTCCTACGTGGTTTACAGTTACGTTGTCAAGAAGACTCAATTGCTTTCTCAGTCAACACATATAGTCTTCAATAAGAACTTCTTTCAGTGGGATTAACGTCAGCAACATAAGGCTGTCAATTACAATTTAACCAAAGATCTTGTACCATGGGATTACGGATTACCCTTCTTCCTCAATTCTAAATTTTAATTTTCAAAGCATACCTAGACAGCCATAGAACTCTCATTTTGTAGCCTCTTTTACCCTTCAATCCATTACCCATTAAAAACCATTCTTGACCAAATATATTTCATATCATATCAGCCACATGAGGTCATATTTCAATCTGAAAGATAAATCAACTTCCGTTACTTAGAATTGATTTGGTCAACGCTTTTACTCCTAAATAAGTTTCAGTTCTTCAAATCAGTATTACAAAAAGGAAAAGGTTAATGAAAAATCTTTACGTTCAGTACATGTTCATTATCTGTTTAATTTGCTGGGCATATATTTCAAATATTTCAAGTTACAATAGAAATTACCATCAATCAAATTGACCCATTGACTTAAGCGAAAAACAAATTCCCATACATCAATATAATAAACACTGAGATGCAATCATAAGTACTAAGTACATAATAGTAAGGGGATAAGTTTAATTATAATTAAATATAACTAGCACAAGAAATCATTACACTTTAAGCAGCTTCATTGCTAATCTCCTTCTCTTCTACATCTTTTGGTGTAGTACTTGCCTCGGCAACATCAGCATCCTCAGCAGGCGGCTGAGCCTGTTCCTCCTCCGGCAGGGGTTCCTCAACATAATCATTCTCAAATGCATCCGGTGGAACCTCATAAATTCTCACCTGTGGCTTTGAAGGATCTTTTACAAGAACATATTTACCCTCATTCAACTTCATGCACAAGTCCACGATACTCTTCACAATACCCCACATGTTTGAAGTGTTCAAATTAATCTGTGTAGCAAAATCTCTTGGCTTGTACCCCACAACTGCCAAAATTATGTGGTTAAAATGATCCCTTGGGTGAACCCTTGAAACGTAACCCAATTTCATCATATCCGCACCACCCAAAAGAGCTTGTGCAGTCCATTTTGCCAACTTATTCGCATTATTCTTCAACTCAGTCGCCAACACTGCACCTCGTTGTGTCTCCAGCTTCTGTCTCCAGTCCACACCAGAATACTTGGAATCAAACTCGTTCAGTGCATTAAGGGTCAAAAACGACTTTTGTTTATTCACCTCCATCACACTCTGCACTTCACAACGTGAAACCAAATGCATATCATCGTCCAGTTTCCACCTCCTATACCTATAAGCAACCGATGCCACTTCTTCCCCTTCATTGGCAAATGGATTGGGCTCCTCAAAAGCAACCTTATTCCCATCCCTAATCAAAGCCTGCTGTGAAAAATTTTGATTAATATATGCTGCCTCGACACTCAATGAGTAAGCTGAATTAATATCATCTTTCACATCAGGCAAGGGCTCTTGTGAGGTCTCGTGTACTGAAAGCAAATCCAACTGTGACCCATCACGCTTATCAAAGAACAATTTATTCCCAACCCGCTGGATCACAATATCCCAAGAATAGACAGACCTGGGGGCGCACATTAGGGTCGATAAGATAGTATCAGTTGCAAAAACAGTAGCTTTATCCTCATTAGCCAACTGGCGAATGACAGGGTCATCAGTTGTGGTAACTTTGAAGAAGTTTCGGTTTTTGAAACGTTCCAATGGTCGGCAGTTTTTCGGGGTAATCCGATCATAAGCCCTGTCGTAAAACTCCAGCCCACCGCAGATCAATAAATCTTCAGGCTCAGGGACAGAGAAAGACAATTTGGAGAAAGTAGAGAACGGAATCTGGTCCAGCATATTCCAATCCGGCTGAATGTCAACAGACGATTTAAACACAGCGGACTCACGGCGCTGAGGCATCTGGGAGCGGTTAAGATGGTACAGACGGTCCCTACGAGCACGGTCCTTCTCAGCCTCCCTCTTTTTAGATTCGACTTCCTCGTCACGGCGCTGAGGCAGCTGGGATCGCTGGTGGTGGGGGTTAAAGCGCCACCGAGGATTAAACTTCGGGCGGTTATGATTGTTGTGGTGCTGGGACTTGGCAGAGGTGTCAACAAGGCGGAAGGATGAGTCCTCATCGGCTGCGAGACTAGCAAATGAGTCATCTCCAGAAAAATCAAAAGCAGAATCAGATGCGTGGTGGCCTTGCTTGGACCCCGGTCGTCCCTGGTTCATGAGTGAACGCGTCCAGTCGGCTATACGACCTAGCTTCTCGGAGCGGGAGAAAGGGGCAAATGGCACATTGGAGGGATGATTGGGTACAGAAAGTGTAGAAGAAAATGATGCCGGCGGACCCCATCCATCCGAGTTAAACGGCACCGATCCAACTTCGAATCCCACCATAGTTTTAAACTATGGTTTCGTTTGAGTTTGTGATGGTGATGGTGAGGGAGGGAGGGAAATGTAGATGAAAAAACCCTACAATCCAATCGTAGCGTTCGTTATTTCTTTTTAGTGGGCTTTGGGCTAGTACGTGGGCTCCTCTTCAAATTATGGAAATTACACTCACTCCTCCTTTTGGAAATTCAAATTCTAAAAGTGGAAATTACACTCCACCCTATTTTTGGAGATATGAATTCTAAAATTAGGTAAGATATTTTTTCTTTCAAAAATCAGAAGTTTTATTTTAATTAATATTTTTCGCAATTTTATCCCACCAAACCGTAATTACCATCACTTTTTCCTCTCCATCTCCCTTCCTCTCTTTCTTTCTCGACCTTCCCCACCTCATTTCCCTCCCCTCCCCTCCTCTCTCTGTGAACGTCGACGCAGCGATGATGTAACTTTCCTCCGTCTCTGTCGACGATGTAACTTTCCTCCATTGAAGCGACGTCGCAGCCGCCCTCACATCGCTACGAGACCACCACTTCTCTCATCGCCTTCTTCTTCTTCTTCTTTTAAGGCGGCTGTGAAATGATGAGGGTTTGATGTGTGTCTTAATGGCTGAGAGATGGCGAATAACAGTAAGAGATCGAAAAAGATGACAGTAGAGTGAAAGGGACAGTGTGTTGTGGTCTGGTTTGGTTTTGGTGGAGGCTATTAGTGGTTTGTTCGTTGATTTGGAGCCTTGAAATGATGGGGGTTTGATGTGGGTCTTAATGGCTGGGAGATGTGGGTCTTAGTGGTTTGTTCGCGCTGCTGCCGGTGTCAGAGATGGGTGAATCGTCGGCCAGAAAGAGTGATGCATCACCGACGAGATTTCTACCTGTTTTGGTGGTGGTTGATGGTGGCAGATCTGATGGTTGAGGCCAGTGTGAAGTGGTTTTTGTGGTTTGAGTTTCTCTGTTGGCGGTGCGGTGCTCGTCGCGATGGTGGTTGTGATGTCGATGGTGGTGGCAGCGTTACTGGTTGTGGTTGGCGGTGGTTGCTGCTTTAGTGGTGGGATGGGGCGTTGTCGTTGTAGTGATGGTTTTGGTTTTTGTTTCCGATTGTGGTTTTCAGATCGTGAGGTGGTGGCGGTGTGGTGACAAGGTAGTTCTGGATTTTTAGTTTTTTTTTTTCTGTTTGTGGTTTTCAAATCTGTGACGTAGTGGTGATGTGGCGGAGACTAGCTGTGACTGCATAATGGACTATCCGTGACCTTAAAGTTCTACAATTTGTGACTAAAAATTAATCTGTGACCTGTAATTTTTTGATCTATGACCAATAAAATA